TAACCAGCGAAACGTCAAATTGCAAGGATCGGGCGTTGCGTCGTGACACGCTGTGAGGCCTCTGCCCCGTACGGATGGGAACCTGATGGAGATTAGTCCAGAGAGAGTTTTTTGTTGTTTAATCTTCTATTTGAGCATCAGGCATCATCCGCTGCTGATGCTGCCATAGTTTGTGCAGCGGATGCTGTTCAATGGTGGAACCTTGAGCAGCATCGCAGATCAAAAACCATCGGGGGTGGATTTTCCGTGTTGGGTCTTTCACAAAGTTTGTGCGTTGGACTTCTTTCGCACCGTACGTCGCCAACCGCGCTAATCGGGAGGTGCGATAGGGGTAGTACAACATACTAAAACACAAAAAGGCGTCTTCTTGGCTCTTTCGGTAAAGTCACGTAGAATGGAAATAATATAATATTAGTATATTATTATATTATGTTTTATTTTTATTATTGTATTACTTCCATTCTACGTGACTTTAGCGAAAGAACCAAGAAGATGAATCCCTGCAGTCACGAAAGCTGTAAATCACAAAAAGGCAGTTCCAAAAAGACGCATTTTCAATCTTGTTTGTCAAAGTTGGTGCGCGGTGTTACGAGTTGACTGTAATGGTGTTCACAGATCGGAGCCGCCGCCGCTGCTGCTGCTACTGCTGCTGTGTGTGGTGCACGTGGCCTTGGAATGAGAAGCTCGAGGGAGGGAGATCCAAATAGAAAGAGACAGGGAGACAGTGAGACAGACAGAGAGAGAGAGACAGAGATAGACACAGACAGAGAGACGGAGAGTCAGTGGCGTGGGTGGGGACCTCCTCGTCTCGGACAAGCCGTGGGTCGGTCGCCAGCAAGCGGGGCCACGTGGATTGATCGTTCGCGTCCTGAGCGGGGCCGGGTTCGGTGTATAGTCGCAGAGAGGCAGAGAGACACACACAGACAGAGAGAGAGGCAGAGAGAGACACAGACAGAGAGAGAGGCAGATAGAGACACAGACAGAGAGAGAGGCAGAGAGAGACACAGACAGAGAGAGAGGCAGAGAGAGACACACAGAGAGAGAGAGAGAGGCAGAGAGACACACACAGACAGAGAGAGAGGCAGAGAGAGACACAGACAGAGAGAGAGGCAGATAGAGACACAGACAGAGAGAGAGGCAGAGAGAGACACACAGACAGAGAGAGAGGCAGAGAGAGACACAGACAGAGAGAGAGGCAGAGAGAGACACAGAGAGAGAGAGAGGCAGAGAGACACACACAGACAGAGAGAGAGGCAGAGAGAGACACAGACAGAGAGAGAGGCAGATAGAGACACAGACAGAGAGAGAGGCAGAGAGAGACACAGAGAGAGAGAGAGTCAGAGAGAGACACAGAGAGAGAGATAGACAGAGAGGCAGACAGAGATAAAGAGACACAGAGATAGACAGAGAGGGAGACAGAGACACAGAGAGACAGAGAGACAGACACACGCAGAGAGAGAGAGGCAGATGGAGAGAAAGAGACACAGAGATAGACAGAGAGAGAGACAGAGACACAGAGAGACAGAGAGACGGTGAGACAGACAGAGAGAGACACAGAGATAGAGAGAGACGGAGAGTCAGTGGCGTGGGTGGTGACCTCCTCGTCTCGGACAAGCCGTGGGTGTCTGGGCGGGTCACCACCGCTCGCAAGAGAGAGGCCGCGTGGATTGATCCTTCGCGTCCTGCGAGGGGCCGGGTTCGGTGGGAAGTCGCAGAGAGACACAGAGATGGACAGAGAGGCAGATAGACGGTGAGACAGACAGAGAGAGGGTGAAAGAGACACAGAGAAAAAGGGTAAGAGAGAGAGACACTGCCCATAGACTCAACACTGCCCATAGACTCAACACTACCCATAGACTCAACACTATGGGTAGTGTTGAGTCGATGGGCAGTGTTGAGTCTATGGGCAGTGTTGAGTCTATGGGTAGTGTTGAGTCTATGGGTAGTGTTGAGTCGATGGGCAGTGTTGAGTCTATGGGCA